CATGAATTACTATTATGTTTACCGATAGAGATTGTAGAACACGTAATTTTATCAAGATTAAAAACGTATTAGATATAAACGGACTAAACAGAACACAGGTGCAAAATCACTTAAAAAATAAAATTCGAAAGTATATTAAGATACATCTTCTTCATAACGAAGTTTTAAAGCACTACAAGGGAACGTATCGACAGACAAAGGAAAATATTCCGTGCTTGGACGGTAAATTACATATGGCAATTCTTTTAACTCACAACAGCAAAAACTCCGGGAACATTTGTGACTTCCGTGACATGAACACAATCGCGAGCAGCCTAATAACGTCCCGTTGGTTTTATCAGCGTGCACTTGAAGCTGTGAACACGGACGGACAGACACACATAACTTACGGCTTCATACTTCTCTCTCGTCAATCAGCAAATATCGACATCGCTCGCACATTCCATAATGAGAGTAAATTTTTGACCACCTGAGAGACTATCAGCTTCTTAGGAAGACCTGCGATCTATGGATAAAAAAAGTGGACTCACCCAAATCAGGGCAGGTTCCAGTGCAAGGCTTTTGTGAATACGGTAATGAATCTTCAGCGTTCCATAAAATGAAGAAGATTTCTTGGTCATCGAGCGAATATTGCATTTTCGGGAAATGTTTTTACTCCGCGGAATTAAGAGAGTGACACATTTTGTCATCCCTTCGGTACAAATGAAGCACTCAAGGAAGTCGATGAGTATAAAAAGACAGACAGACGGACGGGCTAGAAGCGGGAATGCTAACATCAGACTCGAAAGACATCTGTTACAGTGGTATTTAACCTGGGTATGCGAAGACATCTTAGGGGGTACGTAAAATTTAAAAAATATATATTATTTTATAATAAACACTGAATAATCAGTAATGTAATTTATTTAATTTATTTTAGATGTAGATTATATACTATGTATAACTTGAATTATACACCAACAACTTTGGGGGTACAAAGTTGAAGAGAAATTATATCTGGGGGTACGCGAACAAAAAAGTTTGAATACCACTGATCTATTACATAAGCACGGCAGGAACACATACACTTGAGCCATTTTATCACAAAATTGCGGAAATATTGCGGTGCAGGGAGGATAATGGGATTTTCTTTTCTTTCCGTGGTAACACCCCTCCCAAGCCTGCACTTGTGTTTCCATCTGGTAGACAAGTAAAGTAATAAAAAATTGTACACATTGAAACACTCAGAGCTTGTTCGAGGAGGGGGTGGGATCTGAGACCCCGTGTAAGAGATCATAACATGGCAAAGTTGGTGTCAATCCTTAACTGGAGGACTACCTCTTGCCGCCTGCAGTCTGTTGTAATATTTTCGCCTCTGTTAGTACAGAATGTTCCATTTAACTAACTAACTAGATGGCTTACCGAACCTGAAGGTTCATCACCGAATTAACCAAAGCCCTCCACCAGACCCTGTCCTGGGCCAACAAAATCCAGTCTCCTTCAACTCCTATCTCCCATAGATCCCGCCTGAGATTATCCTCCCATCTACGTCTAGGTCTCCCCAGAGGTCTCTTCCCCTCAGGCTTCCCAAATAGTGGACCCAACCAACCAGATGGCTCACCGAACCCGAAGGTTCATCACCGAATTAACCAAAGCCCTGCACCAGACCCTGTCCTGGGCCAACAAAATCCAGTCTCCTTCGACTCCTATCTCCCATAGATCCCGCCTGAGATTATCCTCCCATCTACGTCTAGGTCTCCCCAGCGGTCTCTTACACGACATGTTTCTGTTTTCAATGAACCATCTTCAGGTGTATAATCGATATAAATTTAAATGTAATATTCTAAATGCAAATGATGATGCTCTAATTGTAAATCGAACATTTCGATAGAAAGAGCATCATTTTAATATATATTTTAATATATTTTAAATATTAAATGTTAATTATAGTAATAATATTTTAATAAAATATTTTATTGTGATTAGACGTTTAAAATAAACAATTAAACAAATGTATGCAAACAAAACGGGATACTTTTATCTAATAAAACTCAGCTTGGGACAGACTATACAGAACAATATTTTGAAAGAGATACTGTGTGTTTCATTTAAAAATTAAACTTTACTTTGGTGTGAGAAGAAACATAATTCGATAGCTTTTTCTTATTGTGTGTTAAAAAATTTGAATCTCACTTGCTTTACGATTTTCAAGTGTCAAAATTGGACATAAAATTACGAAGAACACGACGCGAGGAGTTCGCGTACACTGTATATAAAAGTATTACACGTGGCCATGCCTTCTCATTTGCACCTCGGGGTTACATCGCCTTTCCCCTCTTTTAGTCGGTATATAGCATAGTTAATTAAGTTTCTCCTGGACGAAGCTTCTGAGGTTTGTGGAACAGGGGAGGGGGTGTGTTCACAAGAGAGATGACGTTTTTAAGGGGGTTGAGAGGCGGGTGAAATGTAGACTGCTGGAGTATTGCAAGAAGTGGAGAGAGAACGGGGCACACAGAAATTGTACCCCATTCAATTTCATTAACGCACTACACTACATCTTTTCACCTACAACCTTTTTTTCTAACCATCGTAACCGCCCCTTGTAATTCCAATTTTATACCAAACGCAGGAGAGAAAAAAAACTCAGCGAACGAATGAGATTTGAGAAGGAAGAAAGATATTTGCCCTCTCTGTCCGATTTTAATATCCTGTTGTATTCCCAACACGACGAATTCTATATCACTAGTTGCTAATTGGAAAATTCTACTGAAAAAAAAAATTAATCTTTTTTTCGTGTTACATCGAAAAATTTTCTTCCCTTATAAAAATATATTTATTCGTTTACTTCATTTTATTTTCTGAACAGTTCCACATAAAAGCGATCCAGGAGTCAAAATAAATTGTAAAATATAATTACTATGAATGCCGATGTTAAAATGTGTCTTGAGAGAATTTTCATCTGATATTTTCAACAGATACAAATCACTACACGATCGGGGTTCGATCCCCTCAGCTGCAAACAAAATAACGCGAACTGTAGTGATATTCTCTTGTTCAGCTTTCTTACGTCAGGGCTCCTGACACGTCCAAATACATCCAAAACTCTAAATTATTTCAGACATATTTTAGGCTCCCTAGACTAGGACCCACACAGGACAAGACAACACAGAAAAACACGGACAAATAGCCATATCCCGACAGGTATTCGAACCCACAAGCCCAAGACTGCGCAAATCTCTAACAGCGCAGTCTCCGTGGTAGAAGAGTGATTTTCCCCCAAAGTCCACTGGAAAATACCTCGGCCGATGACTCTCAGAACCAATCACGAAGTAAGTCCCTCGACTTGAGTAAGAGCCAACGAAAAATTGCAACCCCTCATCTCACAGCACCCCCTGTAATGTGCTCCCCCCCCCTTCACCCCACAGCCGGTAATCTATCACACCGCACTTTGTGATGCTCTAGAGACCTACAAACTATCCACCGGCCATAAGTAACAGTCATACCGCTCGGGGGTGAAATATCGCCTGCTTTAAGCCTGTCTTTGGCTCCGAATAGAAAAAAAAGTATGAGAGTCAGGGTTCAATAGAGTTTCGACAAACGTTACTGCTTCATATCAGAAAGGTGTGCCACGGAAGTCTAGCGGTTAGAACGCCCTGGGGTCTCGGGTTCGATTCCCGGCGGTGCCCGAATTTATAACTTGTGTTGGGCAAGGCCGTGGTCTAGGCAACACGGAGTTTTCCTCCGTGGCATCCCAACAATTACTCCATTCACACACAGAAGAAGGCAATGGCAAACCACTTCTGGATCATCTGCCAAGAACGTATATTAACATTTCCCAGTCCGAGAAAAGGATGGAAGGATCTTGTTCATATGGACCTGTCGTCAGACAGAACACTAAATAAATAAATCAGAAAGGTGCCAGGTTGAAATTTTGGTCCCCAGATCGGTTATCGTATACGATTATCATGTTTTTAGTCAAGTCACTCCAAGTCAGTGGTTGCCAAAATTGTATAGCCCCCACCCACAAATTCTTTCCTTTAAAATCAAAATACGCGAAATATTTCGTGTTCTTGGAATAATTTTACTGATCATCCAGAGTCACTTCCCTTGGGAAAGGAAATTATGATATATGACGTAAGAAAATATCATATCTTGAATTTACAATTATAACAAAATGTGAGGAAGAAATTTTTGTAAAAATAAATACGTAGGCGTATACCAGAACTCCATGATGATTCCCCTTGCAATTTTGCATATCCATAACACTCACAGAAGAAACAGTTCCACTTTGATTATATTTGACTCTGGGGAAATCCTTGAAACATGTCACATATCCCCTACATATTATTTTAATATTATTTTGAAAATAAAGTAACTGTGAGTCCAACCTACACTGACCAACAGACGACATACTTATTACGACTGAGATCGAAGATACGTCACAAGTTTTATAATTTTTATACAAGTCTAGATATGTTTAGGAACACAGAGTGTAATTTTAAATACACTGTAATGACTAATATGTGATTCATTGCGACTTTATATTTGTGTAAGTAGCTTCATCTTTCTTTGCCAAAACATTTAATATCACCTTTAACAGGCCTAGACTAAGAAACAACCAAGTTCTCATTTTGGACACGTGTACATGCCAGCTTCTGGCACGTGTATGAAGATTACTCTTCATTATGGGTCATCAACCCACTTCAGAACAATGTAACTGTTCATTTTTAAAGTAATTCGATTAAATTAAATTAATATCTCTTTCACAATCAAATCGACTAAATCAACGTGGGCTATTATGACCCTTAACTGTAACAGATGAATGCAGCATGTAATAAATACGTGTTTAAATATCAATGAATACATAAATATTATCACAGTAATGGGATAAGTTCATGGTCCTTGCAAATTATAATTCTAACAGTACGTCAATACTTAGTAGAATCATTATCATTTGTTTTCTGGTACATAGCACTATTTTACACAAACTAATAGCAAAAATAAAAAAAAACATAGCTCACATGTCAGAAGATCGTGAAGTTCCAGTCGACGTCGTGCATGTACACCGCAGAATCGCAAACATTATACACAATTTTGAACACAAATTTTCAACACACCACTCGCTCAATGTGTGTTTTATATTTATTAGTGAAAGAACACATTACTTTTCACTCGGCACATTTCTGCCATCTCTAGTCCATGTTGTCTTTAACTCAACCATCTTTTGGGACAGTCGTACCCTCTAGTGATCTTTCCACAAACCACAAACATCGACGAATCGGTTGCGTCACAACACTCACCCTGACATCTATTCAACCAATGCAGAACTAATAACATCAACACTGCAGAAGCGTATATAAGGTACCGCAATTTTAAAAATCGCGAGAAAATTTCAGCCGGTTACAATAAGTATTTCCGGAAGTAATTAATTTTATGATGGTTTTTATTCGGAAACTTTGTATTAGGTCATTAGGTACGAAACTGGTGTAAAGTATAAACATTTCTTAGGGTAGTCACAAATCCTGAACGGAAGGGAGAAAACGCGTTCAAACTTGTCGAAACTGAGTATAAATTACCACGTCCTGAATCTCGAGTCTTATATTTATGTGATGAGTAAACTCATAAACGTTTCCGACAGTTAAATGCCAGGGATATTTCTCACGTTTCTCACTTAACCTATCACATACCGAAACTCGTCTATATATTACTTCACAATTCAGTCCGCACAGCAAAACACAACTCAATTACAAAGATCTACTGGTTGTCACTGCTCAAATAAATAATCCCTGATTTATCTGAGAATCATACAAAACTTATATAAATATAAATGCCTGATTAATTACGACATGCAGTTTCCACTAGACTTCAGCAAGACAAATTTAAACTTGTATACAACTGGTGCTGGTATCTGGTGTTGAATGAAGTAGTCAATCTGTAAGTTAGTGTAAAGTGGCGCCTTTCGCGGTGTAAAGCGGAACCACTTCGGATATGATCTCTTGTGTACATCTTCGGACTTTGAACTTGAAGCGAGAAACACACACGCACTCTCATACAAAAAAGAAAAAGTGTTAGAAAGAGACAGATAGATTAACTATTGGCGATAAGAGAGAGAGGAAACAAATGATTGTTCTAGTTGCGAGACGGGAGGTGGGGAAGTTCACCTGAGCGGAAAGTGGGAACACACAGCGTTATATCGCCGGCGGAACAATACAGCTACTGCACACTGTAACCAGGTTACCTGGGTCTCTATGGTGATAGATTAAAACAGTGTTTCTCTGGACAAACCTTAATTGTTAACAGTTACTGTATCCGTTATAAAACTAGTGACGAGACAGTGATATTAATAAGAAGTGATACTGTTCATTGTGGAAATATGTTCTCGTTATTATCGTCGATATCAGACTATTCATCTAAGAGCGAGTGATTATGCGGGAGTGGAGTGAGGGAGTAAAGTACCTGAAACTGTCAGTGCAACCACTTCAGCGTCTATAAAGGAGGTATCCAAGGTCAACAGCCATAAAACCATGGCATCGGACAGGTTTCACAAGTAAGCCAGTTATTTTAGTAATAATTATTTGTGGAAGTGAGAATGAAGTTTCGCTGTGAACCCTCTCACCAAGTCTCTGTTCAGTTACCCGTTTAGAGCCTGGTAAAGCATGGCCGTGTTGTGTTGTGCCTTGTGTTCTTTTCAACAAAGAAAGGTAATTGTTTTTGTCCACCACGTCTTAAAGGCTTGTGGGTGGCACAGAGCTGGACTAATGTTTCCACCTCATTATTAGTTATGGTGTCTTTTTATTATTCTTGCCATGGAGTGTCTGTGAAAACGGGCTCTTTGTCCATACCCCAGATGACACATGAGTAAATATGGAGCAGCCATGGACTCACCAAAGTTGTTTGCTTAGAAGAGATTATAGGAACAAAGGTAAAAAATCCGAAAATTACCCTGGGTCTGTGTTTCGGTGAAGATGTTGCGCTAACGATAGAATTTTGTATGACAGTGGTTCTCATCCTTTTCCGCTGGCGTACCACTAATTCTAATTTAACACATTAAATGTACCACGAACCAAATGCGTTCAGGTAAAACTTATTTATGTTAATGTTATCCTTTGATTTTCTTACTTAGTTCGCGTACCACCAGTTGTACGCGTACCGTAGGTTGATCAACGCTGTTCTATGATATTCTACGATACGTATCGAATGATCTGGCCTAATATAAGATTTCGAGAAATAAATATTGATAAGAAATGTAAGCATATGTCGATCTTCACCGCAGAAACACTGCAGGGGGACTGTGCTAGTACATACCGGTCCAAGGGTCGACTATTATATCGACCCTTACTGAACATAACGCAGATACTACTCACAAAAACCAGTTTCAAAGTAATTTAAAATACAGATTCTAAGGTTTTGACGCTTATTAGCTGTTATATACAATACGTGGCTAATGATTGGAATCCGGGTGCAGTCTGCATTAGCACATTGTTGAAGTGTGGTTCGAAAATCGGAAAATTAGCAACAAAGACTTTGTGTTGTATGCCGACTGAAATTTATCGACTTTCTGGTGAATCCAAAACAAGAGATGCTGATACCGTTATCTTTATGAGATAGCGAAGTAGTGCCTGTGTATGACTACGATCTTCCGCCTGCAAGCACAAGATGTCCCAAATTTAATGAATTTTAATTTCCGAATGAGTATCAGATAGATGATTGTTTACTGCTGTTCTACGTTTTAATTAAACAAAATGGAAATTTGTTCCAGTAAAATACACCGAGTTTGACATCTGGAATAAAAGCATGGACGTCCGGGGTTTGATTCTGGACGAGGGCAGACATGATTTTCTTTGACTGCACTTCCTGAACGGCTATGAGTGCCACTCATTTCCCAAATAGTTAAAGTTCCGGATTTTTTTATAGGTTATTAAAACTTTTAACCCTTTAAGACCCAGTGGTAACTATATGTACCACCTGCTTTACACAGTTAATAACTCTGCGTTTTATATGTATGGGTTTCGTATTGTTTTCAGTGTAAAAAGGGATTATTTCCTTAAACAGCGTTAACCAGTTGACATTTGTAATGGTGAAGCGTTGTGTTTTCTTCGCGGTACGGGCTGATTTATTAAATAATATTTAGACGAGCTTCGTCTTCAAAGGGTTAAACAGAAATTCATTCGTCAGTCATTACAAAAGGAAAACTACGTAAGGTCCTTAGACATAGCAAAATATTAAGAGAGACATTAACCCTTTAAGACCCAGTGGTAACTATATGTACCACCTGCTTTACACAGTTAATAACTCTGCGTTTTATATGTATGGGTTTCGTATTGTTTTCAGTGTAAAAAGGGATTATTTCCTTAAACAGCGTCAACCAGTTGATCGTAGTAATGGTGAAGCGTTGTGTTTTCTTCGCGGTACGAGCTGATTTATTAAATAATATTTAGACGAGCTTCGTCTTCAAAGGGTTAACTGATTTAGCATGAAATAAATTACAATTTTGCCCACAAAGTTTGAAGGTTCAGGACTTACGATGGGCTTACCCTTCGTCCTAGGAATCCTACTGAATGTCAAAAGGGTTTCGAAAACTAGCATAAGCTACTCTTGGCGGCCAATTCTCGTGTCGGGCTGTGATGACGATGACGAAAACCCGAAGTAAAGTGAAGTGTAACAAACTAACGTAACGTTACGTAAGGTAAAATAAGCTAAAGCGAAATTAAAATAAGTAAAATAATACAAAGTGAAAGTGTTTATTCGATTCAAGGTCACGCGTTACTTACAGTCCAAGGTCAAAGCGATCTGCAAAGTAATTATTTAACATAAATAAATGCGCACTGCGTTGTTTCAGTGTTATCCCTGGCTGTACGCGCAACCTTCATCAGAAGTAGCTGTACGTTATTATGTGTTGCGTTACTTTAAGTCCATTTAGAACCTCAATTAAATTGGACTGTTCGGATCAGGTAGTGGAACGTGTAATAGATGATGTAATCTTCAGAAATGTAATGTCCGGAAGGCGATAAACACTTCAAGGACTGTTTGATCATCTAATAATTTCCTGTTATGGCAACATTTCGTCTGGATCAGTCGGCTTGTGATTTATTTTTAAGGGGCTACTTGAAAAGAAGTGTTTCAAACACGTCTAGCAGACTTAAATAATCTCAAACAGAGAATTTCTCAATAAATTAATTAAATGTGGATGGACTGAAAGCTGATTGGATTATCAAGTCGCTCTGGGACTGTATAGATCGGTGGTATTCAACCTGGGGTACGCGTACTCCCGGGGGTACGCGAAGACTTCTTAAGGGGTACGTGAAATTTAAAAAATATGTTATTTTATTATAAACACTGAATAATCAGTAATGTAATTTATTTAATTTATTTTAGATGTAGATTATATACTATGTATAACTTGAATTATACACCAACAACTTTGGGGGTACAAAGTTAAAGAGAAATTACATCTGGGGGTACGCGAAGACATCTTAGGGGGTACGTGAAATTTAAAAAAAATATATATTATTTTATGATAAACACTGAATAATCAGTAATGTAATTTATTTAATTTATTTTAGATGTAGATTATATACTATGTATAACTTGAATTATACACCAACGACTTTGGGGGTACAAAGTTGAAGATAAATTATATCTGGGGGCACGCGAACAAAAAAGGTTGAATACCACTGGTATAGATTATGGTCTGAATAATAAATAATTTTAATTGTAGGGCTGTATGAAGAAGAACATGTCGATTTACAGTTAAAATCTTTGATGAGGGATTTTAAATAGACCAAAGCATTTTCTGCTAGCAAGTGGATGCTTGTTAGCGGTAATAAACACAAGAATTCTGTACAACTGCGTGTCGATGTCCCGTTGTCAAATCAGGAAATGAAAGTTTTAAATGTAATTCCATTCATACGCAAATACACTTCTCAAAAAGGAATAAATAAGCCGTCTTAATGAAAGACTCTCGGGTTACGCAACAGCCCTGAGGATGGGAGCAGAGATGGCTCTCGAAACGTTTGCATAAGATAAGGTTTATTTACCGGCTGGTAACCCGAGAGTCTTAACTTTGGCACCAATGAGAAATCGGCTTCACGCTCCAGTTGCCTTTACCACCGAGAAAAATATTCCGATATCCAACGGGGAAGTAGCTATGAGGGTCGTATCAACGTGGACTGAAGGAGAAATCTTGTCCTCACTCGTGCTTCGTATTCGAGGGTTTTCACAGTAGTATAAATAAAATGTCGATGCAGCGTCTTAAAGAACCCCCCCCCCCCAAAAAAAAAATGCATCTCGTCTTTTCGTATGTTTAAAGCGACGTCCATCTGTAGCTGTGGCCAGTATTTTGTCAGCATTCGAGAGGGGCCGAATTAGAATCTCGGCCCGGAGTGAGACTGTCCGGACCTCGCGCCTGCAATGAGCAGTTTTGACACCAGCGGAGAATCGAAGCTCGGTCATGGTACTTAATCTTAACGACTTGAATTCCGCATCGAATGACTAAGTACATTCTAGCGTTTATTCACAAATGTGTCACGTGCGATGCTTTCTAACACGTGGGATATCCCAACAGTAATCAGCGCCTGTCCAAATGTTCACAGATATTCTCTGTGGCTCGTGAAATTTGGCATTGGGGTTAGGTCGGCTGACCTCTAGAGCCTTTGGGATTGGGCCATTCTGGTATCCCTGTCTTTCTAACAGGGTCTAGCGGTTAAAACGCTG